CTGCGACTTCCCCAGAATCCTTGCTGGTTATGGGTTCGGCGTCCTTGTATCTGCTTGCGATATCAACTACGGTCAAAGCGTATCTATAGGTCTTTCTTCTCACCTTGTCGTGCGGCAAGAAAAGCAAATCCGCCTGATGAACCTCGGTGGGGGCATTCACGGTGAAGCTGGGCCTGGGAATGTATTTGGGCACGGGAAGATAAACCTGCCAGAGGATTTGTTTTCTTAACCAGTTCTTAGCCGTTTCTTCTGATACCCTGGCCGCGGCTGCAAGTTTCTTGATAGCCGACGCTCCTCTCCAATAGCCTTCAGGCCCATAGTAAATCCTTTTGAGTTTGTCCTCAGTTCGACCCATTATATGAATTCCAAGACAAGATTAATCTTGCGTCCGTTGAAATCCACCGTCTCTCCGTCCACTTTGATAGTGATGTTTATGCTTTCTACCAATTCGCAAGGCAAATCATAGCTCAAAGAAATGGGAGCGTATTCTACCAGGTCAAATGGATTACCCTTAGGTGGAAACTTGGACATTAGATTGCTGGGTCCTTCATTAAAGTATGAGCTTACTAGGCTGCAGTGAACTTCGTAGTTAGCGGGGACTTTCCATTTTACGTCAAGTTGACCATTGATCGTGGTACTAGTAAGACCCAGGAGTTCTACCAACGGACTGCCCGTAAGATTGGCGCTGCCATTATTCTTTTTAAACGTCATTTCATGGGGTAATCCTGTGGTAAGAGTATATCCATGCTTTGCTAGCTCCTTAGCCAGTGTTATAGGGGTGTAATGGGAATCTGGCAACTTTGGCTTGTTGGCATTATCAACGACAAAGCCGCCAATCAAATTATACCAAGAATTGTACAAAGAGCAGCTTATGAGCCGAACCTTATGAGCTTTGATGGGGGAATTCAAATAAGCGGTAAAATTATTTTTGTCGCTTTCCAAAAAGACGATCATTATATTCTAGGCGCCAAAGGCGCCACTAGAGGCTAAGCGCAGCTTAGACTAAATACGCCAAAGCTGCGCCTCCTGCCAGCCCCGCAATACCAACAAATACCAGCTCATTGTCTTTTTGTTTCTTAGAAGGCTGGTAGTAATTCTTAAACTGGGGCTTTCTCATTCTAAAGTCGGGGTGTGCTTGCGCATAAAGTTTAAAGGCGTAGTCTGTATTTTCAAAGTTCTTATCCGCCTGCATTTTGTCTTGGTAATTCTTGTCCAACCAATCCCTGTAAGCTTGTCGTTTTTCATTCCAAGCTGCCACATCCCTTTGATACTTTTCCAGCGCTAAGTCGTGTCTCTTCCTTTCAGCAGCGTCACTTTGATCACCTCTGACCAATCTATCCAAATACTGACCACCATAATTAGCTCCAGTGAATGCTAAAGCTGCGATAACTCCGCCTACAACCACGCTAGCCATTTATATAAGACGGTAAGCAAAGCTTACGTCTTCGGGATGTACTTTTCCTTCTGTAAGTAGTCCTTAAGGGCAATACTGCCCGCTATGGCAGCGGTCATTTTAGCAAAGCCGGCAATGCTCTTGCTTGGGTCTTCGGTAAATTCTTCTTTGAGCGCCTTTTTACCTACCCAACCAATACCCGCAACGATGGAAGTAATAATAGCAGCCTCTCCAACAGTTTTCAATATCGCAGACGACATTATATCATATCCGTAGAAGCTTTCGGATGCTCCTTAAGATAAGCGTTGACGCGATCCTTAAAGGCATAAAGAAATGTCACGCGAATAACGGCCAGCGATGCAGCCATTTTTACAAAGTTAGCAAAGCTCTTGCTGGGGTCGGCCACCAGCTCCTCACCTATGACCTTTCTGCCAACCCAGCCAAGTACGGTAAAGCCTACAGTAGTACCTATGGCACTTTCAAGACCTACAGTTAGTGGATTCATATATTAAGGGGCTTATTCCATTTTGGGTATCTTACTTCTCTTTGGCGGCTCCTGCACCAAATAGACGGGCTCTGGTGTGGGTTTCCTAGCCCTCCACTGCAAGTAACGACTGCCCGCGGCCATGACGACTCCTAATGCGCCAATAATGAACCCAGGAGTTACGAAGGATTCACCTTCGTCCTCCACCTTTTCTTCTTTTTTGGCTTTGTTCTTCCTGTTCATCTCTGCGAGCTTCTTTCCCGCGGCAACTCTGCCCGGAGATTTAGCCTTGGTGATTTGTTGCTCC